TGACATCACATCTCTTTACTTTAAAAACGTAAAAATGTCTATTTAAGATAATTTTAATAAACTTTGCAAACATCTTTTTTTTTTTCTAATTTTTGATTTTTCCATTTCATTTGATACTCTAGACATGGCAAATTGAGTGCCTAAATTTTAAGAAATATACATTTACCTTTTTGCCTACATTTTTGTTTGTTTGTTTGTTTCTTATAAAGGCCATTGCCTGAAAATGTTCCACTGAAATGATAATATTTTTTATTAAATAGACAATGGAGCATACATTTTTTAATGCGCTGAAACTCATAATTTAGGGATTTTCAATGTAAAATTAAATGGTATTAAAAACAAACACATCCAAAAATAAAACAAAAAAAACACCAGTGTAAATTTAACTTGACTTCAAATATTTTTTTAAAACCACGTGTTCTTTCAGAAAAGCTTAAACCAGTATTTTGTAAAAAGGTTTTAACTTTATTTTATAAAAAAGGAATACCTATGGTTTCAATAATTAATATAAACCCCCAAAACTTCATGGTTTGACCAAATAAATGACTATCTCAATTTTAGAACAGCTACAATAACTAAAAATGTCCTTTTATCGTGGAATATTTGCTATACTAGAAGGTTCAATGACATCACATCTCTTTACTTTAAAAACGTAAAAATGTCTATTTACGTTACCTGTTGCGAAAGTCTGAGCACAGGTTGCTCCCATTAGTCCTGTTAAAAAAACGGCATTAATCATTGATTTCATTGATAATGGTTCATTTTCTTTTCATCTTAAATCATGGTTGTATTCCGTTACCTCTCACTGCCACAGATGTAAATTCATGCACTTATACATTAATATTACCTGCTAACAGGAGAAGAAATATGCGAGGTTCCATCCTCTGAGTGTCAGATTCCTGTAAAATATATCTCAGATTAAATAATCTTGTAATATATTTAACTCTACAGAGCAAAAGCTGCTGTTCTAACGCAATGTGCACACCAAATTTATGTTAACAGAAATACGAAGGTGAAATTCCATTTCACGCTTAGAAAATCCATTCAAATCATTCAAACTTATGTTAGTTCATGATCTGTCAAGTTTCAACATTAAAATATATACACATTATACCTGATCTATTCATTACATTAAGCAAGAACTGACAATGCAGGTATACCAGCAGAACAAGAGTCATTCTGTTCATTTCTGTCTGGTTGCCCAACTCTTACATCCTCATTCTAATAACCTGACATTAACCTGATAGCAGACATTGAAAAGAGATTTACCATGTTTTCATTCAAGCATGCCAACTTTCCAGCAGGACAAGTTTGGGAACATTTTGCCCGTATGACAAAACAGTCTTACATCTACAGTCGCCATTCAAGATTCCTTCCACAGGTCAACAACTTTCCATCACACCAAGGATCTGACTAAAAAAACTTTTTTAACAATCTCTGAATCAATACATAGAAAGTAAACACACAGTAGTCAAATTATATTTTTGTAAATATATCCTTGATTCTATTACTCTTATGTAACAGCCTCAGAAAGCGTACCTATAGAAATATTCCATAGCTTGTCATGCACATTTCACAAATGTAAAAAATGAGGCTGTCAATAATATGAATAATCTGTTTACTTGGACTATAAAGATGTTACTCCATTTAGAAAGTGTCACTCGAAATAACATCTACACTCCCTAAAGATTCTGATTCAGAGCAGAAATGCCACAGTCATCAACAGGAGGGATTATGTATTGCCAGAATTTTTAAGATAAATAAATTAATCGAGAAAGAAAACAAAGGACATAAATGATTTGTTTTACAAAGCATCATCTTGCTTCTGTTGTGCACACTCATCCAAGCAAAGCCACGAGGTAAGAATGGATAAATACCAGATTAATACAGCAAATACCTTCATAAGGGTCAGATTGTTTGAATTTCTCCCAGGAAAATGTATAATAGTATTTTAAATAATGTATTCATTATATTTCCTGGAAAGTGCTCACAAAGCAGCCACACCCTGAAAAGCCAAGCATTGAATTACTAAAACCATAAATCACATGTTGTGTGCTTTATTGTGGCAGCTTTTAATAAATAAAGTTGAAAAACTTTTTTCCCTTTCTTTTTTACTAATGCAATATTTTAATTGTAGTATAATAAAAATAAAATGAAATTTGTATTTAATTAAACACAAACTTCTAAGTAAAAAGAAACCACACTTTTTTTTTTTTATTACAAAAAAAAAAAAAAATTGTTCAGTTTCAGCAAGAAGGTTTAAGAAAAAACACAAATTTGGGGGAGTTAAAATTTGGAAATTATAAAAAGGCTAATTTTGAAGCTTCTCAAAAATAAACCACCAATTCTTTTTAATGAATTACCAAAAGCAAAATAATTTCTCACGCGTTATATATGTTTAACATCTGTTCGAATACAAACATCTTGCTTACCTCGGTGTTGTCCAACTATGCTGCAATGTCCCTGTGCTCAACCGTATTAGATGTGAAGGCAGCAAACACCTTTCTGCTCGAGTCAAAGGATGGTAGTGAGCAGCTATCAGAGGTGGAGGTTTTTAAGAGAGGCAAGAAATTCTTTCTTGTTTCCTGGCATAACAAGCTGAACTTGTTTCCTTTCATCTGTTGTGATGCTACAGACTATCCGGATAAGAGAGGAGAGGTGGGGTGTCACACTGACGCAGGTTTTAAAAGAATCCACTGTAGACTTGTGACTAATGTAATCAGAATTTTTGCTATTTTAACGTTAAAAATCATACCAGTATGTAAGAAGTTAAATACTGCATTTATATGACAGATATACAACATCATAGTATTATTTCTCATGATAATGCCTCAGAGATGCTTCCTGTCTTACAGTTGGTGTGTGATTTTTGTAAGGTCAGGAAGTGTAACGATACTTTTATTTTTGAAAAGATGCACACACACACACATGCATATACGTATATATATGCATTTTTTTCAACATGTATATATATATATATATATATATATATATATATATATATATATATATATATATATATATATGTATGTATATTTGTTTGTGGGCAGCATGGTGAGGCAACTGGTAGAGCTGTTGCCCCTCAGTGAGCAGGTTACCCTGGTTCAAATCCTAGTCCAGGGGCCCTTCTGGGTAGAGTCTGCATGTTCTCTCTGTGCATGCGTGGGTTTTCTCTGGGTGCTCCAGTTTTCTCCCACAGACCAAAAACATGCATGTTAGGCTGACTGGTAACTTTAAATTGTCCATAGGTGTGAGTGAGAGAGTGAATGGTTGTTTGTCTCTATGTGTCCCTGTGGTGGACTTGTGACCTGCCCAAGGTGTCCCCCGCCTCTCGCACAGTGACTGCTGGACATGGGTACCGGTGACCCCCGCAACCCAAAAAGGAAGAAGCGGGTAAAAGATAATTGATGGATGGATGTTTGTTTGTTTCTTTCATTACCGGTACATAAAATACAGACCGTGGTATTTAATGGTGGTCAACACTCGAGACATACAAACCCACAAATGGACAGAAAGTCAAGCCTGCTGTAGTAAATGTTTGGCAAACTGTCTTTATACAGAACATGTTCAAATGTGGTGACTACTACAAGCACCTGACCAGGCTGGTAAAATAATTTTTGCCCTTTTTTTTTTTCAATTAAAAGCTTTTATTTATATATTTTTCTTACTTCTTCCTTTGAAACATACAGTTCACGGCACCATTTATTGTCTCTTTAGGACTGACTGTGGTTGTAAGCTGGGAATTTGGCTTCAACCCAAGGTACTACAGTATATCCACTACTATATTCTTATTTGTTCACCTAACAGTTGAAACATTTATTTGTTTAAAACTCTTTACCTAAATCAAATATTAAATAAAGAAGATTACAATGTCTGCAGAGCACTCCATTTTTACACCATTCATTGAACTGCAGTTCATCACAAAAGCAGAGACACGGCTAATTTTAGCATTCTTGAACACCTCTGCCACATCTTTTTCCAAACAGCGTCATTCCTGCCGTGACGTTAAAAAGGACAGCCCTAACTAAAAGAGCAATTCACTTGAACTTAAACATGCCTTAGGTAAACAAGTTAGTATTTTTCACTACATAGGAATGCTTTCATTATTGTGAAAAAGACATGATATGCTGAAAGTGAATCCACTTTTACAAAATGTTTCTGACTTTTTCATCAATCTTTGCGTGTTTCGTCTCCACACCGATGGCTGGCAAAGCAACATTTCTTAGACGAAGATTCAATGTTTTACACAAATGTCACGTGCACATGGACGTCTTTTGGGATTATAAAGGATTTGTGCTGAATACTCTTTCAACAAATGCAGGTTTAAACCATTGTAGAGCGCAGGCTGTCTTTGTCAAGAGCAGCTTGTACACTATCCACCTGCAGCAGTCATTTAATAACTTCATGGTTCAAGGTGCAGAAGAAAAACAAAAGCAAGAACAAATTGAGACTTGTATTGTTGGAAGAGGAGAGGAAGGTACATAATGGGCACACTTCTTCCAACTTGATAATCTTTCTGTTTTGTTGCCTTACAACTTGGAATTAAATATTTTTTTAATTAACTGTAAGCAAATAAATCAACAAAAATGACTTCATTTTATTGAAGTTAAATGATGAAAATAATGACAACACATTCAGACAACTGGACTATATTATTTAGACAATAGCAGCTTGAGCCCCTTTTTGTTAAGTTATCTCCAAATAAGTATAATTACATATTAATTTTTGGCTTCCTAGATCAGTGTCAGAGCAAAGAATGACATTTTTAATCTGTAAATCTCCCCCAGCTGAACAGCTGTTGAGCAGCTTTACTGCAAACACAACGTCACCACTAAGTTCAGTCAGGTCAATATAAAGCGACTGTTGTGTGACTGACAGAAAATTAGAGCTTACAGTACTGCAGAGACGTCCTCTGCTGCTTGTGTGGGCTCAGATCAGCATGACGACTGAGGTGGACTGCTGTTCAGACTACCAGACACATGTGGATACAAACAGAGCCAGAGACTTGCTGAAGGTGATTTGAGGTTTTTTTTTTAAATAGTGAGCATTGAGGGAATTCACATCTGTATTTACTGCTAGTCAATCACAATCAAGTTAGCAATAAATACGAGCAGAGCTGCCCAACTCCATCAGGACTAGTTTGGCATTTATACGTGCTTCTCTGAGTTATGTTCTATTTGCCTAACTGGTAACTCTAAATTATTCCCAGGTGTGAATGAGTGTGAATGATTGTTTGTCTCTATGTGTCCCTGTGATGGACTGGAGACCTGTCCATGGTGTACCCCGCCTCTCACACAGTGGTAACTGGACATGGACACCAGTGACCCCCATGACCCAAAAATGAAGAAGCGGGCAAAGATAATGGATGGATGGATGGATGGATGGATGGATGGATGATGGATGGATGATGGATGGATGGATGGATGGATGGATGGACTGCCCTAATCATCAGTTTTGATTGATAACCCGATGTTTGGCAGGTTTACTGGGGTTGCAAACCCTTTCCTTGGTTACTTTCCTTTTCTTCTACTCCTGTGAAAGCTGCAAGCATTTAGCTTTCCACACGTTTCTGAACTCTTGTTAATACTCAGCCCTCTAAAGATGAAGATGATTTAACAAGATCAGTCATTCCACTTCTCGAGCCTAAAGTCATATCCTACACCCAGATGAACTAGAGCCAAGCGCTCCTTAAGTTTCAGTTTCTGTCATTCATAATAAACCACATCATTCATGTTGTTCTTTATTTTTTGCTTTATAACTAGCAAGCTGTTCAGTTTGTTTTGCCTCAGCAGTACCAACTTTACAATGAAAACTATGTTAACAAGTGGTAAGTCGATGTTTCCCGTCGCTAAGGGGGTCGAACAATGAATGTTGTTTTTGAGATGAGTGTTTTTCTGGACTGGAATTGAACAAGAAATGCAAGAAAACTTCAATGTTTTCAGTGTGATATATTCAAGATGGTAGGAGGTACACCATGTTTAAAATTAGTCAGTGTTTTCTTTTTTTTTTTCTTGTCTGAGGAGACATACAGTGATGGATCCTGGAGCGTGGAGGGTGCAATCTTATCCACTATCAGCTGTAATGGCTGAGCCACAATCATTTGAGGAAACTATACTTTTGAGCAATATACTAACTAGAAAGCATAGGTTCCTTGAATGAAAAGAGTGTCCAGATTAAACGTAAAAGCAACAAAAACTAATTAATTCCTGTTTGAAGTAGTTAGTTTGTAAAACCACATTTAGCATTTTTAATTTGAAACAAGAGTCTTTTTGTGACAGTATCAGGCACTTATATCACTAGAGAAATAAAAATAACCAAATTTTCTTTAGGTTGTTTCAAGTAACTGAGGTATTTCAGTGTTTATGTTCAGCGCTTCTAAGACCCTGACACAATATTGAATGAAGGTCATGTCTGATTTGGTCATTGCAACATTTTGGACTTTTTTTTTTCTTATCCGTTTTAGAATATATTTTAAAATTGGTTAAATTGATGTTAAATCTTTAAACAGTGTTGCCCTTCTCTACCTTTCTGAGCTGTTACACCATTACACACCTTCCTGGTCTCCCAGTCTGCTGATCAGCTGCTCCTGACTGTACCCAGAACCAGGTGTAAGCTAGAGAACTGGACTTTTATGGTGCTGGTGTCAGTTATGGAACAACCTACCTTTGCACATCAGACAGGCCTCCGCATCAGCTGCTTTTAAACTGTCAATTCAAATTTTTATTTGTTGGATTTTGCTATGGTTTAAGATGCTGATTTTGATGTTTTATATCAGTTTTTATTCCTTGTTTTATTTTATTTCATGAGTGTTGGCTTGTTTTACAGTACAGCACTTTGTTCCCTTTGAGGAGTTCTAAAGGTTTTTATAACTACAAATGAATTAGATTTTTTTTCTTTCATTTTGTTGTATTAGTGATGTGCTTGTCATAAAATTACACATTGATCCCAGATGACCGATGGTCTTATATTTGACTCTAGATAAAATTAATTTATGAAGGGGTTCATGGTCATCTCACTGACTGAGACATCTGATTCTTGTAGTTGCCATATTTGTGCTTCTCTGTGTTTTCCTTATATGAGTTGTTTTATTTTGCTCCTTTGGGTTCTTATGTATTTTTATTCAGCCTCTGTGTTCCCTGTGTCAGTCCTCACACTCAAGCCTCCATCAGTCCCACCACTTCAATCTGTTAATACTCACGCCAGTTTCTAATTAACAATCATCCCAGGTGCTTTCATTTCCCACTCTCCATCAGTTCTATTTAAACCACTTCTGATCATCATTTCACCGTCAGCTCATTGTTCTGAGCAACCCACCAGATGCCTCGGTCCTGCCTATTGTACCCCTTGTGTTTTTGTTCTCCTGAGTTCTGTAAGTTTATTGCTGTCACGTCAGCCTTTTGATTTTGTTTAAAATAAATATATTTCCATTAGACTTTATGTTCCCAGTGTAAGCCTGTACTTGGGTCCAACCGCCGACCGTGATAGTAGTAACAAAACAAGTCCAAGTCCCCACCACCCATGGCCACA